AACCAACCAACCAACCAACCAACCAACCAACCAACCAACCAATCAATCAATCAATCACACCCTTATCCCTTAGTGGGGTCGGGAGCATCGCTGGTGCCTATCTCCCTTGTTAAAAATCTTTATTTCTCTCTCTGAACTTTTAAACATCCATCTGACCAACATGGAGTTACTTTTCTTCTCATCTTTGCTCCTTGGGGCTGATTGGTCTGGAGCTCCATCAAATATTGTTTTAAAGTCCTTTCTGTCATCAGTAGATCATCATGGAAATCTAACTGAACTTCACTTTTATTCATTTAGTCAGAGTCCCTATTAAACTCTATTAAATCCATCCCACTCTTTCATTTTCCTTGTGAGCCGTTCTTAGTCAGGAGAATATTCCAGAAAACTGGGTAATGATCTCTGCCTCCAGATGAGGCGTCTAATAAATCTCATTTCACAATCAGCTGAAATCTTCCTGGACACTCGTGTTAAATTAAGGACTGATCCATTTCCTGGATCAACTTCTGTTCTTGTCCCTCTTAAACCATCCAAACATCATCAGTTCTTACCCTCTAAATATGTTTCTGCTGTTTCTCCATTTGCATCTGTTTTGTTTCATCCCATAATATCCCATGTGCATTACAGTCACCACATATTACTGATAATCTAGACCTTTAATCTGGATTAACTGATTTTAATCTAACTTTCATAAATGTTCATTTTAGCTCATTTATTATCGTTTCTGTTGCTACATATTCTAGATCAGTTCCTCTACGTTTCTCTGAACATAGATGATCTATTCTAAATGTTGCTCATCCTTCTCCTTTTCCTTTCTTCCTGTCATTGAAACATTTTTACTTATTCTAAAATCTACATTTGCTCTCAGCCATGTCTCTTCAGTACCAATAATATCTACTTTATGATGTCATTTATCTGCATATTTTAACTTCCTGTCCATCAGCCAATCAGCTCCTTGTATTTTCTCAGTAGACCAATCAGTGGAAGCCCCGCCCAGCCCATGATGTGAAGACAGAGAGACAAACTGAACTCTGATAGGAAACAGTTTAAACTGATTTTCTCTCTCCAACCTCTTGGTTCCACATGGAGCTATATTTGGCCCCCTGCTGCTCTGACTACCATGTCATTGTGGTTCCAGTAGATGGGTTGGTTTCCCAGGGTCATTCAGAACCATGTGAAAGATTCCTACAGTTTTTCATTAGATACCATTTACAAAGTTACACAGTCAGAATTGTCAGCAGTACTTTGAGTTTCTTAACTGTCATAAGAGATAAAGGGAGTTTTAGAATGTCAAGTCATGTTTTCACCATGTTATTCTTTCATTTATAAACGTTATGGTTCCAAACTAAATATTTAATTATCAAACTAAATATTTAGCTTCAAACTAAATGTTTCCCATCAGACTGACTAAAGACGTTTCTCCTCTTCCTCCTCTATCAGACCTTCTCTGCTCCTGCAGCAGGTTCCTCCATACCTGAGAGCTTCCAGTCTCCAGTCTGGATCCTTCAGTCCAGCCGACAGCAGCTTCACTCCTGAGTCTCCTGGATGATTGTAGCTCAGGTCCAACTCTTTCAGATGGGAGGGGTTAAAGGTCAGAGCTGAGGCCAGAGAAGCACAGCCTTCCTCTGAGACCAAACAGCCTGATAAGCTGCAGACACACAATTCATCTCATGATGAGAACATTGAGGTAGAGCCCAAGGTCTGAACTGGACATTTATAGGAGAGGAAAAAGTCAATAAATTAACCCGTCAATAAGATGAAATAGTAAAAACACTCTCATGTAGTTCTGTGTGTAATAAAAATCAACATTTGTCACATGTAGAACGGATCAGAATAGAAACATCCTTCATTGATCCACAGCAGGGAGATCAGGTTTACAACAAGTTGAAGGTAAATGGAAGAATCAGATATTCAAGAAAAGATAAAAACACAAATAATAGGAGACTCTAGAGCAGGGGTGCCCAAAGTGGGTCCTCGAAAGCCGACATCAGTTTGAAAGAAATGTGCAGCTCTTCAGTTCTGGTTAGAAAGTCTAACAACTGCTGGGAGAAGGGATCTGTAATAAAGCTCATATGTGCGCCGAGGATGCAGCAATCTGTCAAGTATCCAGATTTACACTATCAATGGCAGCCTGACCACTGCCTTTCTAAATATCTTTGTTCTTGGTTCTCAGCCTGCAGTAAATGAAAACCAGCAACGTTTTATGAGTAGAGATTTGTTAGCCAGTTGATAGTGACAGGAAGTCACTTGTTGCACATCCTATCACAGTTCCACACTGAAATTCACTGAGTTCCTGAGAGCAACTCATTCTTTCACAAATGTTTGTTAAAACAGTTTGCATGCCTAGTGATTAGTTTCATAAACCTGTGGCCATGGAAGTTATTGGAACACGTCATTACTATCCTTTGGATAGTGGTCAAATACTTTTGGCAGCATAGGTTCTCTCTGATAGCAGGTAAATGACAGAAATCTGGTTTCACCAGGATTGGTCACATTTTACCTGAGAGTCTCCAGGTTGCAGTTTGGACTCTTCAGTCCAGCAGAGAGAAGCTTCACTCCTGAATCCTGCAGGTTGTTGTTACTCAGGTCCAGTTCTCTGAGACTGGAGGACTGGGAGCTGAGAACTGAGGACAGAGCTCCACAGCTTTTCTCTGAGAGGTTACAGACACTCAGTCTGAGGAGACAGGGAGGAAAATCTGGTATTAAACTATTCATCAGAATTTATGTTCTTTCAAATCAACAATGTTTTTATTGGACAGAGAAGGAACCATCTTATTTTACACAACCTTTGCATTTGTTGTGAACTGGTTTATTCTATAGTTGGGCCTCCAGCCTTAAATGACAGAACTACAGGTAACGAGGAGGTTGGAAAGAGAATTATGAAATTACACAATAAACTATATTAATCCATTTCAATGTTAACATAAAGTTTTGCTGCTTGAATATGTAACATTATGTTCAGCTGCTGAAGGAAGTCTGTTTCGTTTTTGCGCATCCCCCCCAGTGGGACACTTTGAAGAGACAAAGCAACAAAATATAAACTGAAACATGAATATTTACCTCATAATTAGCAGATTTCTACCCATCAACAATACCTGCAGTAACAATGTGTGTCCTTACAGAGCTTTGTTGGAGGCTTTAACCACTGGCAGCAGCCTCAGAAGAGCCTCCTCTGAAGCAGAGTATTTCTTCAGGTCAAACACATCCAGATCTTTTCCTGATGACACTAAGATGAAACCCAGAGCTGACCACTGAGCAGGAGACAGTTTATCTGTGGAGAGACTTCCTGAACTCAGAGACTGTTGGATCTCCTCCACTANTCAAAATTGACATCAATAATTTGAGTTATTTAGCTTGTCATAAGAGATAAAATGGGGTTCAGAATATGAAGTCTTTTTTTTTTTTTACCATATTCATTCATTTATGAATGCCATTACTCTAAACTAAATTTTTCATTTGCTAATTAAATTTTTAGCTTCAAACAAAAAAATTCTGCTTGGAGTTCTTCTCCCACAGTCCAAAATCATCCTAACCCCACTAGGGACAAGGTTGTACAGAAAATGGATGGTTGTAAATTAAATATTTAATGATCGAACTAAATATTTCTCTTCAAACTAAATGTTTCCCATCAGACTAAAGACGTTTCTCCTCTTCCTCCTCTATCAGACCTTCTCTGCTGCTGCACCAGGTTCCTCCATACCTGAGAGCTTCCAGTCTCCAGTCTGGATCCTTCAGTCCAGCCGACAGCAGCTTCACTCCTGAGTCTCCTGGATGATTGTAGCTCAGGTCCAACTCTTTCAGATGGGAGGGGTTAAAGGTCAGAGCTGAGGCCAGAGAAGCACAGCCTTCCTCTGAGACCAAACAGCCTGATAAGCTGCAGACACACAATTCATCACATGATGAGAACATTGAGGTAGAGCCAAAGGTCTGAACTGGTCATTTTCGCCAGAGGAAAAAAGTTATTAAATTGTGCTTAACCTGTCAATAAGATGAAATTGTAATAACAATCTAACTACATTCTCTGGGTAGTAAAAATCAACATTTTGTCGCATGTAGAACGGATCAGAATAGAAACATCCTTCATTGATCCACAGCAGGGAGTTCAGGTTTACCAGCAACAAGTTTAAAGTAAATGGAAGAATCAGATATTCAAGAAAAGATAAAAACACAAATAATAGGAGACTCTAGAGCAGGGGTGCCCAAAGTGGGTCCTCGAAAGCCGACATCAGTTTGAAAGAAATGTGCAGCTCTTCAGTTCTGGTTAGAAAGTCTAACAACTGCTGGGAGAAGGGATCTGTAATAAAGCTCATATGTGCGCCGAGGATGCAGCAATCTGTCAAGTATCCAGATTTACACTATCAATGGCAGCCTGACCACTGCCTTTCTAAACACCTCTGTTCTTGGTTCTGTCAGCATGGAGGGAATGAAAACCAGCAACGTTTGTGTAGAAACTTGTTAGTGACAGGAAGCCACTTGATGCTTATCCTATCACAGTTCCAGGCTGGAATCCACTGAGTTCCTGAGAGCAAAACATTATTTCACAAATGTTTGTAAAAACGGTCTACATGCCTTGGTGCTGCTTTCATAAACCTGTGGTCATGGAAGTTACTGGAACACCTGATTCCCATCATTTGGATGGAGGTCAAATACTTTAGTCAATCTCTGCTAGCAGCTGGTGGATAGAAATCACCAGGATTGGTCACATTTTACCTGAGAGTCTCCAGGTTGCAGTTTGGACTCTTCAGTCCAGCAGAGAGAAGCTTCACTCCTGAATCCTGCAGGTTGTTGTTACTCAGGTCCAGTTCTCTGAGACTGGAGGACTGGGAGCTGAGAACTGAGGACAGAGCTTCACAGCTTCTCTCTGAGAGGTTACAGCCACTCAGTCTGAGGAGACAGGGAGGAAAATCTGTTATTAAACAATTCATCAAGATTTATGTTCTTTCAAATCAACAATGTTTTTATTGGACAGAGAAGGAACCATCTTATTTTACACAACCTTTGTATTGTGAACGGGGTCATTGGGCCTCCAGCCTTAAATAACAGAACTACAGGCAACAAGGAGGTTGGAAAGAGAATTATAAAATTACACAATTAACTATATTAATCCAGTTTCAATGTTAGCATAAAGTGGAGGAGTTTTGCTGCTTGAATATGTAACATTATGTTCAGCTGCTGAAGGAAGTCTGTTTCTTTTTTGCTCATCTCCCCCAGTGGGTCACTTTGAAGAGACAATGCACCAATATA